GATATTTATTTATTTAGTTGGTTAACAATTATCTGCTAACATATGTTTAACTATGGATAAAATAGGGAACAATAAATGATTATAATTGCGAGTCTAATGTACTAATAGTACTAAAAGGTATTTCATATGACAAAATATTATATAGGCTTTTGTAGTTGCTACATAGTGCACGAAAAGGTTCATGTTGGGCATAATTCGACCTGCAAAAAGGCAAGCGCAAAGGTCGGAATGAGAGTGTAAGTCTTGATGGAACGTTTAAATCTGTGTAGCAAAGACTTGATTCAGAGTTGACGAGAGCTTATAATATGGAACTATCATCATGGTACAAGAACATGTCCATACCATGATACTAGACCCACTACGTTTGTTCCTGGCAAATGTAAACTGGGGCCTCAATTTAGGATGTGTAGGTTGTCTGAAGTGATATTGAAGGCTATTTCATATAAACAAACCATTTTGAACCCTCCAGACCACAAAATTGGTTCTCCCTTACTTTGCGCCCTATTTAAGACGCGTCAAATTGATCCATGCTTTGCAGACTGCCAGCGCATAGTTTTTTATACCCGTTACTCGTAGAGTAAAAGGGTATACTAGATTCGTCGGAAAGTATGTAACAGGCAGAAGGAAGCGTTTTACTAGCCGAGTCGATATAGCCATGTAGCCATGTCCGTCTGTCCGGATGAACGCTGAGATCTCGGAAACTATAAGAGCTAGGCTATTGAGGTTTGGCGTGCAGATTCCTGAGCTTCTTACGCAGCGCAAGTTTGTTTCAGCAGAGTGACACAGTTTTGATGCTAGAATAAAAATTTTAACTGAAATTTATTGTTCTCATCAATACCTATCGATTGACCCAAAAAAGGTTGCCACGCCCACTTTAATGTCCACAAACCGCACAAAACCTGTGACGCCCACAATTTTCATGCTAGTTAAAAAATTTTGACTGAAATGTATTGGTCTCGTCAATACCTATCGATCGATCCAAAAAAAAATTTGCCACGCCCACTCTAACGCCCATAACGCTTAAATCTGTCTACCGCCGGTAGGTGGCGCATTTTAATCTCGCTTTGTTGCTTGCATACCTCCATTGCATTTCGTCCCTTTAGCTGAGTAACGGGTATCTGATAGCCGAGGTACTCGACTATAGCGTTCTTCCTTGTTGTTTATGTAAATAATGTCCAACATTTCATGTACTCACAAATATTAGCGTAACTTACGGCCCTTCTTTAAGGTTTTATTAAGCATCAAACGGATCAGGCCATCCAATTTTTTTATACGGGGTGCATAACTGAGTACATGCGAGCGGATTTTGTTTTGTTTTTTACCAAAAGATTTACATTATTTTGCTATGTTTTTAATAAGAATTGTTTAATGAATATTCAAGAAATAAACAACAAAAAATTGTGATTCAATGCATTAATAACAAGCTTTTAATTAATTTGTAAAGATCTACTCACTTTTCCTTTCGACGGTATAAGGCTTTAAACTATTCGGCAAACACGGATTTAAATGCGTAAACATCGCAAATTCTTTAATGAATAAATGAAAAGTCCTGGTACTCTAAACATTCTGAAGATTAAAAATTCCTAGGATACGCGTTGTCATTTCCTTGGTTAAGAATTAAAAACGATCAGAAAAAAATTAACGCCAAATTTTTCGGAGGAGGAGTCTTTGTGAGCATGCGTTTTTGATGTAAATTGAAATGATGTTCCTCCCCTCCTAACTATAAGAGCTAGACGGCTGGAATTTCAGATTTAAATTCCTTAGCTTCGTGTGCAGTGCCAGTTTGTTTCTTTAAAGTGCCGCACCCACTCTTACACTTACAAATCGACCAAAAACTTCAAAAAATCGTCAGAATAACGCTGATATCTCGGAAACTATAAAAGCTGGAAAGTTCGTATTAGGCATGCAGATTATAGAGACTTTTGCGCAGTGCAACAGCATTCAAGAGCACAGCATCATCAGGATGCTACGCTCACTCTAAAGCCCACAAACCGCCCAAAAACCATTGCGCCCACATCTTAAAAGATGAACATTTCAATTATATTTTATTTTTCCGCTTGGTCCGCTTGGACCATTAGTTTGCCTGTACCTTGCAAAAAATGTAAAGTAGATAAAATGCGAAAAGTATTTATTTTGAAGTTGGTTAGCTGACTAACGAATATCTGATAATCAAGACACTCGACTATAGCGTACATTATTTGTTGAATCCAATTTTTTTGTATCGTAAACAACAAGTACTTTCGGTTTTTTAAAGATAATATGTATTATACTTTTAAATGTATACTTAAAAATTAGAGGCAATAGTTGGTAAATAACGGATTACATGTAAAAATAAATCGTTAAGGCATATTGAGAGCGGTTTTTCTTTAAGAACAGGCACATTCTACGACCTGCATATCACTCCATGTGGAAATTTTGAGTTTATCGCTGTGGTTTTCGTCAACATGTAATATTTCGAGCATCTCAAGTTTTGAAGGAGCGCAACACGGACGGGGTGCTCGGTTATGATCTTCTTGCCATATAAGACTTTGCAACAGGGCGTGGTGGTGGGCTGGATTGTGACGCGGTGGGCATCTTCCATGGCAATAGCCTGCATCGAATACTTTTGGCTGTAATATAAACTCAAAACCCTTAATGTCCTTGAAGGCAACATCCAACGGATTTCTGCAGCATCGCTGGTGTAATTTGTAACAGTTGTTATTCCATTTTTCCTTTCTCCAGGTTATATCTTGGTTTGAACGATGATGTACATATTCATCGCTTCTATTATTGGTCAGAACGATATGATGAACGTCATCTTCTTTTTTGGCTTTCAGGGCTCCATGTCCGATTATATTTAGAACTGGCATGAGGTTGAAGCGTTCGTTGTTTGGTGTGGCTGATTCTCCAGATGATGATTGCGTCGAAGAGTCCGAGTCGCTAAGTATACGAGCACCTATACTTTTGCATTTATCACATTGAATTTCTATTCCCAAATTTTCATGACTTTTGTTCATCCAACTACGAACAGCTTTTGTCACGTCAAATTCTATCCACTGAGTTCGCGTTTCTTCGTATTCAATATTTTCAAATTCAATTTTCCGAGAGGCTAAAAGCCTTCGTCTGTTCGACGAAAGAAGTTGATACACCTTCAGATTCAATTGTCGATTTCGGACCCTTTTCAATTGATTATAGCTGACATCACCAGAATTACAGCTCTTAACTGGATTCATTGAATTAACAGTCCCAGAAATTTTATTTAACTTTCTGTTTCTAGGTCCTTGCCATCGGCGCGAATTAGTTGCTAGGGATGAGCTATATAGGAGCATAAGCCTGACATTGGCCTCGTCTATTTTATCATGGTGAAACTTGGCATCTTTAAGATTTGTGAGTGGAAAGTGCAAAAGAATGTTTGTTTTGTCCTGTTGGCCATATACTGAATCTTCATTGTTTTTATGTTTTTTGTTTTGTGTTAGCCTGTTTAAATTTTTAAATGATCTCTTATGACGCAATCGTTTGTGACTAATGTCATTAAATTTGTTTGTAATAATGCTTAAAAAATGTAGGTCTGTAATAGACGAAGCCCCAATATAGTTATTAAAATAGCTTGTGCCCTTATCCTGGTGACTCCTTAGACGGCTTAGGTATTCTAGGTATTTGTTGGAATATTCAACTTGGCTTATATTAACCTGCAAAAGATAATTTTCATTAAAGCTCCAATTTTCATATGGCTTAGTAAATACTTCAGATGTTCTTTTAGTTGGCATTCAGTTTCTTACCTTTTTCATATCTGGTATTTTTTTCATTCCAAGCCCTTTTAAAACTAATCGTTTAAGCCTGACTTCATCAACTCTTTTCGGATTTCTATTATGACTTTTATTTTCTAGTCGAATATCTCTGCTTTTTCTTGTTTGTCTATTATGAATTGGTACGGAACTTTTCCACTCAACTTTTATTTTTTGATTGATTAAGTGAGGCGTGTGTTTAGGCTGGCTTAGATTAATCAGACTATATTTATTTGAACTGGCATTATAGAATGAGTCTCTGCTTTGCTTACTAATCTTTTTGGATAAATTGTTAAGATCCTTATCCGAACTTGTTATTTTGGCTTGGATTTTTGATAGAAGTTGATGGGTTTCTAGACTCTCAGCTCCAATACTTTGCTTTTTAAGCAGCGCAATTTGAATTTGCATATTTTCATTTTGCGTATATACTGAAGACAATACGTTTGAATTTGACGTTGGGCGGAACATTCCATGACCATTGACTTGTTGCTGAGTTGGCAGCAATAAAACAAACATGAGCCATATTTGGGAATATTTGGGATACCTATTAAAAACTTTGGCAAGCTTAGACTGACAATATACTCTACAAAGCGGTGGTTTAATAGTAGGTTCCAGTTCTGCAATGCCTACTGTATTTGTAGTGCGGTAAAACAATATATGAAAAATTATCTTCAAAATCCAGGTGGACTTGTTTGTATACGCTATTAATTTTTTTGTTTGAGAGTAACTAGTTTTACATTTATGCTGTAAAAGATCGCACCACTTTGTTGGAGCTTTGTTTTTTGGCGAAAAGTTTGGTTCAATATCTATTATCATGTTTTCTCCACATGGCCATCAAAATTCGTTTGATATTGAAAATAATAAATGTTGTAATCTTCCATTCATTCGGTCATTTCTGTCTCAAATATCTAGCCTCTTCTTTACATATGTAACAATCTTTGCACAGAATTTTGGTAAGTATTCACATCCACACTATGTACTTTTTAATGTACTTATGTTGTGTGAGCATCTGTTTGCTTTTAGGTTCAGGAATTTGTTTTGTTAATTAATTTAAGGGAACAGCAGAAAATACTTTCGGTAAAAGTAAATAAATGATCACAGTTTGTCGAAAATTTGTACATATTTTCGTCTCGTTCGCTCTCTCATTAACATTCCTATACACATTTATACAGAACCTGTTCGGGCGTTGCTTCAAATTCGACTAAAGTACCCCACAGCAAATGCTTACTTAACAGCAGCAATATAAACAACAGCCCCACACCCACACAAACGCACACAGCCGCGCCGGACAAACACAAACAAATATGCATGTGCTGTGTGTTGTGTGTTGTGTGTTGTGGACATGCAACACCCCTGCCGAATCAAACCTACTCAGCCGCACATGGTTGCTTCTAAAGTGAACATCTTTCACTAGTGTTGTTTCGCTTATCGTGCATTCGTACATGCGTGATTTTCTCCCTTCCTTTTACCAGGTAGCTTTGACTAGAAGTACGCTTAGTTTTCGTTTTCAATATGTCTAAAATTTCACTGTTGCCGTCCACAGTACACGTAGTGACGAAGCGCACAGACGTCCGGACGAAGTGTGGATGGCAGACGTAGTGACGAATCGCATCGGAAGTGCACGGAAAAGGTATCAATTGCTACGACAAGTGCAGCAAGTTCTGTGGCACCCTCGATAAACTTCATGATTTGATGGGAACCTAACATTTAAAGTTCATAAATCGAAAACAAACATTGGGGAACAAACTTTAAAATAAATATATTTTACATTTTGTCTATGGTACATTTCCTTCTATCTAATAACATTTTCTAATATAGATCTAAATAAAATTCATTTTCATATTTAGTTTTGGAAAATGGGAGCGCCACAGTATTGGTATTCCACATGCTTAATCCCAACTTTCTAGCTTCTATAGTTTCGGAGATATCAGAGTTAATGAGGAATTTTTGTGGGCGTGCCAACATTTTGTTTGTTGGTCTATTAAGAGGTATTGACAATACTTTTCACCAAGCTTGCGCTACGCAGGAATCTGCTTTCCTAATTTTCACAATGTAGCGCTCATGGTTTCCGAGATCACAGCATTCATACGGTCATAACGCTGACCCAAATGAAATTGTCGAAATACAACTACGGTTTAATTTTTATTTTCAGATTCCTTAAACCAAATACTAAGATCGTTAAAATGCGTTTGTCAGCTATAAGAAACTAGAGAGCGAAAGGCAATAGGTGGCAACATTTTCTCACCCTAACAGACGACAAGAAAATACCATAAAATTGCTTCGCGCTCCCAACCACCTAAAATAAACTCTGTGAAAACGATTTTCAATACGAATGCATGTACTATGGTCTTACTGTCAATCAGCTCGTTTTGTTGCCAAAAGAGTTCTGTACTGGTATATAATATGGATCATTTGGATACCAAAACAAAATGTCAGATCAAGTAGTTAAGCTTGTCATTGAAAATAGTTCAAAAATTTTATAGCCGTTACTCGTAAAGTAAAAGGGTATACATACAATATATTGTAGTTGGCTCAAGTCCCACAATACTGGCCGACCTACAACATATTGGCGTGGTTTTTGTGTTTTCCTTCCATGTTTGTTCCCAATAGAATGAAGCGTTTTCGACCCTTTAAAGTATATATATTCTTGATCAGTATCGCTAGCCAAATAGATGGCCTAGCAAGTGAACGCTGTGATCTCAGAAACTATAAGATTGAGATAAGGTTGAGATTTCATATTACATATTCCTTTGCTTCTGATTCTGCCAAAGTTTTTTTATCCGAATGTGCAGCGCCTACTCTAACGCAAACAAGCTGCACGCTCTAAGAGCCTAGCCAAAGGAAATCTCAAAAAAATTGCGAAGACCGACACGACCACAAATCCAAAATACTGATGATCACGCAACTTGGAGGTGGAAAGAAGAAAACCAAGGGGCCGAGCGCGTATCGGACTCTGTTCATTTAACTGCAAGGGTTCGATTCGGACCATTCGTCAGGAAGTTGTGACTATATAATTTACCAATAGGTGGCGGCATGCGCTCCATCTTCCTTGCGCTCCCTTTTTGCGTTTGTTGTATATGGGCTTTGTCCAAAAAGGAGTTAAATTTCTTATAGTGCGTCCGTTTGTATACGATCTAGTTTCTCAGTTTAAAAGCTAGTGGAACCAATCACTCCTAAAGGTCTTCATTCTATTGCAGGTACGGAACCGGAAGGGGACTATTTGTCATGTTTCAAGGTCTAAAAAAACGTTGGCTTAAGTGTATTTTAGGAGGGGATTACTTTAAAGGGGATGACATTAATTTCGACAATTAAATACAAAAGTTTCATTTTACAAACAAGTTTATCTTACTTTTTGCTCACAAAATACTGGATCAAGCTTTGTTGTTTTTGACCGTATTCTTATTTACTTTGGTGTGTACCTTTTTTTAATAGATCACAATTACAAAACAAATTTTTTAAGCCTGAGTAACGGGTATCTAATAGTCGTGGTCATCGACTATAGTGTTTTCTCTTGTTTACATTTCAGATTTATGAAATAAATTTTTTACAGGTGAGGTAGCAACGGATCGGAATTTAATGCGAAAATATTAGGAAAACAATTACATATATATTAGTTGCTTTTGTTCATATTCTCTCCTATGCTAGAAGTTCTTTTTGTGATTTCTGTAAATAAAAAAATTTTTTTTAATTAGTTACAACATAGATTAAGAAATCTCTATTAATGTTTTATTTTTTCTTTATTGTTTGTCAGTGAGAAGTTTGCAACGCAGTGAAGGAGACGTTTCCGACCCCAAAAAGTATGTATTTTTTGATCAGCATGACGGTCGATCTAGCCATGTCCGTCTGTTCGTCCGTTTCTACGCAAACTAGTCTCTCAGTTTTAAAGCTATCGGGCTGAAACTTTCCCAAAAGTTGTATTTCTTTTGCAGGTAGTATATAAGTCGGAAACAGCCTGATCGGACAACTATGTCTTATTATTTATTATTTCTTTGGTGGTTTTTAACATATAAACTCCTACGCTTGTAAGTAACGTTTTTTATTTAGTTCTGAATTTCGAAATAAGTTTTATCAAAATCGGACGACTATATCATATAGCTGCAATAGGAACGATCGAAAAATTGGTTGGAAAATAATATGAAATAAATTATAGCTTCGGTGTTTTTTGACATATTATCTTATACTATTGGGAATATCATTTTTTGTATTTTTAAATTAAATAATTATAACTGCAAGGGTATACAAACTTCGGCTAGCCGAAGTTAACTTCCTTCCTTTTTTATACCCGTTACTCGTAGAGTAAAAGGGTATACTAGATTCGTCGGAAAGTATGTAACAGGCAGAAGGAAGCGTTTCCGACCCTACAAAGTATATATATTCTTGATCAGGATCACTAGCCGAGTCGATCTAGCCATGTCCGTCTGTCCGTCTGTCCAGTATATATATTCTTGATCAGGATCACTAGCCGAGTCGATCTAGCCATTTCCGTCTGTCTGTCCGTCCGGATGAACGCTGAGATCTCGGAAACTATGGGAGCTAGGCTATTGAGATTTGGCGTGCAGATTCCTGAGCTTCTTTCGCAGCGCAAGTTTGTTTCGGCACAGTGCCACGCGCACTCTAACGCCCACAAACCGCCCAAAACTGTGGCTTCTACAGTTTTGATGCTAGAATAAAAATATTAACTGAAATGTATTGTTCTCATCAATACCTATCGATTGACCCAAAAAAAAGTTTGCCACGCCCACTTTAACGCCCACAAACCGCGAAAACCTGTGACGCCCTCAATTTTCATGCTAGATAAAAAATTTTAACTGAAATGTATTGGTCTCGTCGATACCTATCGATTGATCCAAAAAAAAATCTTAAAATCTTAAATCTGTATACCGCCGGTAGGTGGCGCATTTTGATCTCGCTTTGCTGCTTGCATATCTCCATATAGATGAGTAACGGGTATCTGATAGTCGAGGTACTCGACTATAGCGTTCTTCCTTGTTTAAATTTAATTTCTGTGTGTACCAGCAGACACGTCTTTTTATACCCGTTACTCGTAGAGCAAAAGGGTATACTAGATTCGTCGGAAAGTATGTAACAGGCAGAAGGAAGCGTTTTCGACCCCATAAAGTATATATATTCTTGATCATGATCATTAGCCGAGTCGATCTAGCCATGTCCGTCTGTCTGTCCGTCCGGATGAATGCTAGAATAAAAATTTTAACTGAAATGTATTGTCCCCATCAATACCTATCGATTAACCCAAACTAAAGCTTGCCACGCCCACTCTAACGCACACAAACTTCAAAAAATCGTAAATATGAACGCGGATATCTCAACAACTATAGAAGATAGAGAATTGGGATTTCAGATTTAGATTCCGTAGCCTTGTACGCAGTGCAAGTGCAAGAGGCGCACTCTAACGCCCATAACGCCTAAATCTGTCTACCGCCCACATAACCATATATTGAGATCGCGGGTAGGTGGCGCATTTCAATCTTTCTTTACTGCTTGCATATCTCCATTGCCCTTTGGTCCCTTCAGCTGAGTAACGGGTAACTGGAACACCGCTTATGCACGAACACAGAGAAATTAAAATTTATATTTGGTTGCGCGGCGGCTGACAGTGTTCATCGAAATTCAAACAAAATCTGGTATTGTTCTGCAATTTTCTTGGCTCAGCTGAGTACCGCAGTAGATAACGGACCCGACGAAAAGCGTTACCCTCATGTTTGCCTCTCCCTCTCTCCTATGGTTAGCTCGCGATTTTCTTTGATTTGAGTACTAGGCTTAGAAACCCAGAAAGAAGAAAACGGTTAGGAGTAGGTGCAAGTACATTTAGTATCTTACTATTTTTATTCAGTATTTTTTAAGCACTTAGGTGATTTCTGTACATGACGTTATGGGATTGTTTTGGGAAGGAAATGCATTTTGGCTCTAGTCAGCTTTTGTAAGAAAAACAAATGCCAAAACAAATGATCAATAGAATTCTTAGTTGTCAGTTAAGCCTAGCACTCACATCGACGAAAACCGCGAGCTAACCATAGGAGAGAGCGAGAGACAAATACGGGGTCTGTCTTTCAGTGCGGTACTCAGATGAGCTAAGGAAATACCAGAAAAAATACCAGATTTCGCGGTAAATTTCGATGAACGCCGTTAGCCGCGGCCAAGAACAAGAAATTTAATCTTTGGCGGTGTGGAATTTAAAAATTAAAAATAGAAGGGGAACCCCAAAAACGCACAAAGGAGGTCAGTGCAGATGAAAAAGGAGGACTAATCCAAACTGTTGCCTATTATTGTGGAATTTCACCGACAGGAAGCAATGCCACGACAGGGCATTGAACAGTTGAAGCGCTGGAGGAGATCCACTAGAGAATTCCAGTGGGAAGGAACATGCCGAGTGGGATTTCGCTCGATCTCCGACGAGGAACCACCGGACTCCACCTCCACCAGCTACTTTGCAGCTAAAGCGGCCAGCTTCTATAGGGAGAAGGAAATAAGGTCGCCCGCTAAGGGACAGCTGAAGGAGCCATCACCAGCCATTACCAGGATGCTGGGCGACTTTATGTAGCATCAGGCGGAACAACCCCGTTCCCAATCGGGCTCCCACTTCCTCAAGGTCCAATATGCCAATGGGGAATCGGAGCTGGACTGCGGTGGCGCGGGAAAGATGGCGAAGCATCCGTGGGACGAGAAGGATGCTTTAAACTACTAAATTACATAAATAAAAACATTCGTTGAACATTCCATTTATTTTTATTTTAATTTTTTTGTGAATAAACACAGCTGCTTGACAGTAATACCATGGTACATGCATAGTGAAACTCTTAGCCGATCTGAGTACTAGGCTTTAAATAAAACAAAATAATTTTTTTTTTTGAGAAATTGATTGCACGTGGTTAGGATGTTTCGATAACCGGCCAAACTCTGATTACGTAATATAGGATCAACCCCATATATATGACTTGATAGATACTATAGTATTTTTACTCTTTTTGATTATTTGTAAATAATAATTCAGCAGTATATGGCGCATCTACTTTTCGGCCAGCCCTCGCTTTTGCATAGTCGTTTAACCCTTTGAATTTAATGGCCATGAGCGTTTTTCATTCAGCAGCGGGTCGTTCTTGTGCGCAAATATTTGCGTTTCTGCCTTTATGAGTTTTCTGTATGTAAGTGGATGCTTATTAGAACCCTGGAAAACATTCTAGTTACATTCACGTAACTCAGCCTCAAGCTTGTTTCTATAATCTGTACAGACTATATTTTTTTTGAACCAATTGTAATGTTGTATGAAATTACAATATTCCAGACATTATAAAAAGGTTTTGATTGTGCAAAAGCACTGCAATCTCTGCAGTTGTTTGGTTTAAATTGTTTAACTTTTTTTTATTTAATTGTAAAGAAATATTTCAGGGAAACGACAAAAAAAAAACAATTATACAAGCAGTTTTATAAGGGCCACAGTCAGTGGAGCTGTTAAACAAGACTCATTCGATATAATTTCCCACAATGATTTGTAAGAAAATATTGATGATTTTATAAGAAGGAATATATCATAACATATTAGGCTACTTCTTTATAAATGTGCAAGCGGTCTGACTACCGAAGCTAGAATTGGATTTGCTGGCAAGGCGAGTTATGAGTTATGAGTTATGTTTTTTTTTTTTACATAGGTGATCCAAAGTAGGTTAAGTCTGGTTAAGAAAAGTTATATAACAACAAAAGAAGCGTTATAGGACTATGGCCTATGATATACCCGTTACTTTCTTAACCAACTTCAAAATAAATTTCCATTCGATTTGAGGCTATTAAACACCGATGTTTACGTTTGTATATTTAACTACTGGCTTTGACGTCACTGGCCATGTTCTTGCTATAAACAATTTGAACAATTTTTAGTGTTAATCGCTGTTGCAATTTCAGCGGATTCTCGTTCACATATACTGCGTTTATGCGATGGCCATTTCACGCTTTCATTTCATGAAATGGGCTGATTCGTGTGTGCATAAACACCGTTTCATAAATTCGACAACACACGAAAATTGACTATGAATTCAACCTCAAAGCGTGAAATGGTGACAATTAAACTCCGGTAACTCTATAAAATTATCGGAGTTGCCAACTTACATTTAACAAATTATTTTTTCATTCAGTGCCAATAAAAACTAGTTTTCATCTTTTATTCATTCAGTGCCAATAAAAACTAGCTTTCATCTTTTATTTTGACGGTAGAAAAAATGTTATACTGGCTTGCACACACTTTACCTTTAATACTAGCAAGATTAGTTCATGCGAATCGAAAATAAATAATCGGTTTAATAATCGCTAACACCTTTTTCCACCGGTCCGGCATCTCTGTCAGCTGAGATTGATAAAATGCATAAATTCGGCCGTGTCGCATAAACAGAAACATATTTTATTTCTCGCTTTTAAGAAATCATGAAACCCTTAACATAAAAATAGTAATAGAGAACCGATGAATCGAATAGCTTGGCATAAGCAAGTCGTATCCGAAGGAAGAGGACGTGCAAATTCATGTTTTAAAAAATGGAAAACTAAACACAATTTGATCGCTACAATGTAAAATGTATTTCTTTATTG